AACTCCGGATAACAAAGAGATATTCCTCTAAATATAAAACTCCTGGTAACAAAGAGATATTCTTTAAAATATAAAACTCCAGATAACAAAGAGATATTCCTTAGAATATAAAACTCCGGATAACAAAGAGATATTCCTCTAAATATAAAACTCCTGGTAACAAAGAGATATTCTTTAAAGTATAAAACTCCGGATAACAAAGAGATATTCCTCTAAATATAAAACTCCTGGTAACAAAGAGATATTCTTTAAAATATAAAACTCCGGATAACAAAGAGATATTCCTTAGAATATAAAACTCCGGATAACAAAGAGATATTTCCCTAAATATAAAACTCCTGGTAACAATGAGATATTCCTTAAAATATAAAACTTCGGATAACAAAGAGATATTTCTCTAAATATAAAACTCCTGGTAACAAAGAGATATTCCTTAAAATATAAAACCAGTAAGTTGTAAAACCAGGATAACAAAATGCCAGAAGTTGTTGCAAAGTGCCTGGTTGAGATAAGCAATTTTTCACTTTCTAGCATAATTTTTTGATTGAAATTACCAAAATTATAACATTCAAATAATGAGTTGATACTAAAGATAATAAAGAGCTTGGCAAGAAAAAGAAACATTTACCTTATCTACAATATCAACAAGCTGTTTATCAAGTTTAGGTCGTGTGTGTTGTTTTAGATCGAGGTCCTGTATATGCCTATTCCTGTTTCCAAGTGATTTTACGATATGTTCTAAAAATTCTAAAAATTGATTCTAATGTGATTCTAAAAAGTAAAAACTATATTTTTGTTTTACATTTTTTTCCCTAAAACAATAAAACACTTTTTCTACTGTGTTTCCAAGACCTGGAGTTTTATGTAAATCTCAATTTTGCACTCACTATTGAGTTATCCATTGCATAAGTTTACCGCAGTGAATTAGACAATATACACTTATTCAAGATGACCTATTTATAATTTTACAAACGGCGATAACAAAAATGTGTCTGCAAACTACTTTTTACATTAGAAAGTTAAGTAATTTCGGCCATTTTGAATATATAACCTTCTTTTTCAAGTAATGTTGGCCATTTCAAATATATTGCCTTCCTTTTTCAGAAAGTGCGCCATGGTCATTTTAAACATATTACCATCTTTCTTCAAGTATTGTCGGCCATTTTAAATATATCTTACCGTAATATATATTCAGCTATGAATTTTGGCTTTAACATTACTCTTGTTAATTCTTTATTTTTTATCATTGAAATAGCCATTCGTTTTGTGTTGGGATTAGGCAAATGATCGAAAATGGGGCTAATCAGCAAGACTATGATAAACAAATAATCATTGTGGTAAATTTATAAAGATTTCTGTTCTTAAATGTACGGAATGGGTTGAAAGTAAACTTTTAGAGTAGATTTTGTCTTAGGTATATTACAAACTAAATAGAATTAAACTGCAAATTACACTAGCAATCTGTTTGCTTTAGATATGATAAAGAAACAATGAATTACCAGGTAATATGAATGCTGATAAATTGTTTTACAGGTAGATGATATTAAGCATCAAATTAACAGTGAAGATTTTGAGGGGCATTCTGTTATCTATCTAAATGACCAGATGAATGGTTCAATGTCTTTCATAAGCTGTAGCTGTGAAAGTTGAATATTATCAAAGAATTTTATTAATCTTACCAGGAATCCAATCATCATCATCAGGTACCATCTTCTATCAGAAGGTTGGCTACTATGACCCTCCTACTATTCCAAAATCTGAGTTTTGGTTTGTTGTCATTGTCATACATAAAACTATATAGGAATCCAATAAAATCCATAAATATTTTGCTTGCTAAAATTCTTTTCTTGCTAACATTTTCATGAAAGGAGTAAAATTTTATGTTTTAATCTGATTACGAACCGAAAAAATACGAAAAATAGTTTGAATTGCTTCGCTTAAAAATATTTCATTAAAACGTTTGAACTATTGCAATATCGACTGATTGGAAGTATCATTGTCTTCTTCATTTTAATTTGGCATTTCCTTTCTTGTTTCAATCTTCCCTTAAAACGTAGCAAGTCCTTTGATTCGGGGGTTAGAAGAATTAATTTTCATTTTATGCTCTAAAATACCTTTTGTATGTATAAAACGAAAGAAATCTACGACAATAACATGGTAAATTGAAACATCTTGTGTAAAATAGACACACGAGCTTAAAGAATTGCTCAAAGACCCTTACTTTCTTTCTTCGTGTTGAACATCTGTTAATATCGTAATCTCGTTATTTGTTTAGCATCCCTCATCTGCGTAAGCAAGTTTACGTCAGAGACTAACAATTACAGCTAATGACATTTTATTACGCAAATTATCACTTTCCTGGCAACCCAGTGTCCAGAAATGCTACTAAGTAACGGTAAAGAATAAGGCCTGATCCAGGCGTAGTAAAATCCTTTTTGTTTCGAATGACCCTAAATCGGGTGGCTTGTCATACGTCCATAAAATTCACTATCTATGAAGCATTTAAATTTGCACCATAGATAGACATAAAAAGCAGTTAAGGTTTGGAGAAGACAAGTAGATAGAGGGGCATTCTATTGAGCAGCATATGTTTTCCAGACCCCTAACATTGGGTTGGAGGTCAAGAGCATAGGCTTCAGTTTTTTAAGAGCGGGAAAGGAGCTGGTACCCAATATGCCCGGTTCCCTTTACTATGAATTGAACCGTGAGGTGTGTCACTCTTTTCAAAAAGCGTACTAGACTGTTTAAAATCAATAGGATTTTTAAGAATTTTTTGGGAATTTTCGTGGAGTGATCTGCCACTCGATTACAACATTTTATTGCATCGAAATGCACTAGTTTGGTGTAATCATGTGTATGTCAATACTTAACGAATGGCTTCTGTGCCATGAAACTAACACTTAAATTTTGGGATACGCTCCAAGCTTTGCTGGAAAGCAATGCGTCTCTCGTTTCTCTTTGAATCTCGCACTCTTCTCTTGGGCATCTCAATGCATACTGTCCAACAACTTTTAAGCAACGCATTTGTAGCTAGGAACCCAAACTAAAGTCATATCATCCCCAAAAAGTAGGCCAAGAACTGGAAGTTTACTTGCAACACGTTGAATGACATTTAGCGACAGTATTGATTTTCTTCCAGCAAAACACACAAATATTGTCATTGTATAGAATTTAATATTACATGCAATATTACATATAATCTTACATATTTTATATTTATATCCGGTTTTGCTGTTGATTTGCTGTTAAAATGTTTTAGGTCATAATTTGGCAGAAAATTATGAAAACTGCAACTCACCAATAGAAGAAAGAAAAGATGAAATAATTTAGGTATATTTGTATTTGTTTTTATTCCCCCGAACATACAATGCTGTTATAAAACTTTCGTGTCTATGAACCTTCGTGAATATTTAGACGTTTTTGAGATCGATTAAATTTCATCTCTAGTTAACTTTTCCCTTTTTATGGATTAAACTAGGAAAATAAATGTTTTAGAGACTTGCGAAGAACAAAAGTGAAAAGTATTTTTTAAATGTAGCATTAGATATGTAAATGTAACAGTGATAACACTGATTATGGCCTAATGGTATTAAAAAGTCCATTCTTTGGATTGTTTTCGTAAGAAAACGTGCTGTCAAACATTTTATCAATCTTGAATGTAGTTACATACATTTTATCATTTTAGAACAATCACCGTAACAAATGAACGTAATAATGCAGAGACTGATAGTTTAAGTAAGAATTCTTTGACGAAGATTATAACTTGGGTGGAAAAGGTGGCTAAAAAGTGTTATAGAAAAAGCCAACTGCTATGGCAACACAAGTCCCAAAGTTAAAAGTGAGTATTTTTAAAGCATAGCCTCCAAGTCATTGGATGTCTCTGTCTGCGGCCTCTTCTTTTACGGCAAAAGGAATTATTTTTCATAAATGTGTTTTTTTGTTGCAAACTGAACTGAATATAGATTTCGTGGATGCCAAATTCTTTCCTGTCTTCCACTTGAGTTTTCATTTATAATGCAATAACTTTTAAGATCGAATGCTTCGTTTCTAAACAACTTGCATTTTAGTTATTCTTTAAATTGTCCGTGCTTAATAGAGTAAAAGGCGAGGGGCAATTCACTCTTGTAAATAGCTTACGAGATTTTTCCAAAAACAAAAGGATTTCTGGGGATTTTTAGCTAAAACAATAGGATTTTCACAAAAGGTGTACGAGATTTTCTTAGAGTGATTTGCCCCTCTGTAAAAGGTGTGAGCCGGTATGAATAGACTTTTTGAGTTGCTGGAGCATACAAAATTTTGTCAAATAGAGAATTGTTATACCTCTCAGGACCCTAATGATAACAGTACATATTGTACTGATAGGTTATCCTGTTAAAACATTCGATTATTATATTACATGATTTCTTATTCATGTTACTAATGCAAAGTTAGGAAAGATAATATCACCTACCCTTTCAGCATCTTCAGCATGTTTAATACATTAAAGAAGGGAGGATTTTGGGTATACGAGTATGCTTGGTGAATTAACTGAGATTGAGCCACAATTTGAGTATTTGTATGACTGAAAATGATTTAACTTAGGTTCAAATGATTTTTAGCCAAAAGAGAGTTCTCGTGAGATTTTGCAGCAATTTTAAAATTTTATATTTATTCGAGGTATGTCTCTCTTGTGCGTTGTGATTCACTACAGAACGGCTATGTTTCACAAAAATTCATACTCTTATTGCCTCAAAGGCTTATTGTTATCCTTAATATGTGTCAAAGTGATTAAGTTACAAAAAGACATTGCAAGCATTTTATGAATTTAATTACATAACCTGAACCAACGTAAAATAATTATATAGGCGAAGCTAGTTCCATCTATCTAAAATTTGCTAAAATATAGCTCCAGGTGTCCATGCACTTACGGTTTAAATTTTCTAATGCAGCGGTGATTTTTAAAACAGCTTTGGCTTGGCATAATAACTGCAAGGCCTTAAAAAGAGTTTTTTCTTTGGAAAATATTTCATTTAGCTCTGAAATTTTTAACTAAGATATATGCTCATACCATTAGATATAACTCTCTACTGCTCAATCTACTTCAGCCATAATTTTCAAATAATGTGCTTATTCTTCGTTCATAAAAATTATCATCAATAACAAGCTAAAATTAAAATAGGAAAATCAGTTAGAAGTAGAACACAGAGTTTCGCTAAGAATTGTCTTTCAAAACTGAGGGGAATGGTTTTTTACAAATATTAATATTTTCGAAAAGATAATAACGATTGCAAGTTTATTCGCATTAGCAACATTACATTTTATCATCATTTGAAATTGTAAGTACCCCTTTTCGTGCTTGAATCAAGAGATTGTAACCAAATTATATTCAATTTTACTCAACACTAACCTTGAAATTATAAAAAAACTTGCTGTACTCTATTCTAATCTTGAAAATTGAATAGATTTAGCTCCTGCTTTGATTTTCGTTTTATTTTATGAATGTGCAGGATTTTATATTAAGGAGTCCCTTTTTTCTGTTTCTTAGATTTAGCACCTTCAGTGGCGGTTCCAGCTACTGCAGAGTGGGAGGGTAATAGGCGTGGCCAGTAAAGCTACGCTTCTTTGCCTCGTTTCAGTGCTTTGTACCAGGCTAAGTTTCCTTAGCAAATATGAACTACCCCTAACTAGCGCTTTTAATCCATTTTTAGAAGAAATATGCAAACAGTGTTTTGACAAAAGTGAAGAGGGGGGCTATTACCCTCTATAGCCCCTTGGTGCCGCCACTGAGCACCTCCATTGTAAGATGTTCCTCTAATTGTATTACTTTGTGCAACATTTAGAGCTCTCTCCACATCAGTCTAGTTTTGAAACTGCTAATGGCACATCATCTACCATCCTTGCCAAATAGTTAGAGTACCTGCACAAAATATCCATAGTTTCTCCTTCTACTCGTACAATGTTATACAATGCGAGCATTGGATGACTTTCAGTGACAATTTGTCTTTGATGCATAAACACTTCAAGAAAAACCATAGACAAGAAGTCATTTGCAAATGGGTTTTTGGGTAGTTTCTTAGTTTCAGGTAGTAAGTAGGGTAGTTTGTTAGGACAGCGAGAAGCTGTGCTTAACGAGCAGTGTCCTTGTCCTTTCTCTTGACCACACCCCCTGATTCCTACGACTGGAATTTCTACTCACTGTAGATGAAAGTAAGGTCACGCCAAGAGCTCAAACTAAACACCCTTGGATCTGTTGTCATGTCAGCGTCTCTAGCCGCTGAGCTATCCTCACTGCTGTTTTAAGAAATCAGTAATGTGCAGAGAGAAAGGTCGAAGAATTTAGCAAAAAAGATAATATAACTTGAACCTTGGAGTTAACTTCTTTTGAGCATGATTGTTTTAGTGTTCCGTTTTGTACATTAATTTTTGACCTCGATTGTAGATATTTAAAAGCTTTTTTATCTGTCCTTTCATTGATGCCTTTATTCGACTCTCAAAATCATTCTCGGGTACTTTTGTTAACTTTTGCAAGTATTTCTGTAGTCATTAAACATTGTTTTGTATAGCTTAGGAATAGAATTTATATTGAAATTGAAACCCAAAATAAGCCTTTTTCAGGATTAAACGAATTCGGCCTAAAATTGAGTACGGTTAACGTTTAACGACATCGCTACGATTACGGATTTTCCAAAATATATCAAGGTCAATGATTATTGGAACAAAAAGGTGCGCTTATGCGGACATCGGATCAAAAAAGGTGCGTTTTTGCAGGTATCTGTATTTTAATGGACCCACCCTCTTTTCCTATTTGCTACAAGGATACAGCTACAACAACAACATCAACAACAACACAAGCGTGCAATTTCCCGCTTAAACTTGAGATTCTTAAAAAAATTCTCGATGAACGTTCTCAAGATTTCTTACTGCCTACTATGTTTCACCATATAGTGGGGTCATATGATATGATGTGAGTATAAGAACATTTTGTTTATATGATTGTATTCAGCACAAAGAAAGTTTCTTGATTTCATACCTATTTATTCTATGTCTATGCAATAAATTCTTGAATCAAGACTTCACTTCGATCACCAAATCATGGACCAAGGGCAAATTTACGACCAATTACAAAATATGTTGCAACATTGATAGAAAATTCTTTCCACATTAATTCCAGTTCATTTCATTTCAGCTCATTTCATTTTAAAATTCCACTACATACAAATGCTATTAAAATAATACAGTACATCAAACCAACTACAATAGATTATCAAACTATCATTTCAGTTCAGATATTTAAAATGAAAACCCACGCACGTATAAAAACAAGCAAAAAAGAAAATTTTGATAAATGAATAGTGAATGTACAAGTTGCTCTATCAATCTATCAAATGTAATATAAATGCATAAATACTAACTTCCAAAACAAGAAGATCACAGATGTTCTTTCAAGAAGTTCTTAATTCTTTCAAGATTGTTTTTTTCTGCTCTTAATCATTGCTTAGTATGTGAAGAGGTGTAGCCAGGAGGGGTTTGTAGGGGTTAAGGCATCCCAAATTCCTCATGTGTTGGTCAGTAAATCTCCAGTTGGCCTACCAAAATACTAGTTGGTCGAGATTGCAGTAAAGAAATTGATTCTGGAAAGGGCAAAGGTGATACAAGGTTTTATTGAATTTACCACATAGGTGCATTTTGCATCAGCAACTTGCATTAGAATGGGTCTGGCTTAAAATTTGGCATTAAAATTTGAAAATCATTGACTATTGCAGAAGGAAATCTTTGCTTGAATGTGGAAACACACTATTTTCATAAATTTTGTTTGGCTTTTTAGGCCTTCAGTTTGTTTATTCTTATATAAAAAAACTCAATGAACATAGAGGAATTATAATTATTTGTATCAATTGTAAATAATGTTATAAAGTGAAAATGGTAAAATTGATTTTTTCTTTCTTTTTCTTTGTACATAAAAACATACATGCATACATTATTTATTTAGTAACGCAGGGTAAAATATGCCAGTCTCAAGTTGACTTATGTTGGCCTGCAAATAAAAGTGTGAAAAGAAAAGTAATATAGCTACATTAATGATAAGCAGATGATTTTATCCTTTTTAAAATTCTAATATCTAGTCCATATCCTTCAAAGTATAAAAACTTTCCAAGATCTTTGTTTTTGATTGTTACTGTTCTTTTTCGAAAGTTACTTTTTCAGAAAGTAAATGCTTTGTAAAATGCTTTTTCTTCACTATGTCCTGTATTGTCCAAGTTTCAAGGGCAGTGTTATGATTAGAAGTGTGCAATTAAAAGTAGTAAAGGGCTCTCACAAAACAATAGAAAGAGTAAAAATTGACAGCACTTTGACATCGGTACAGGTTGTTGGAATTTCTCATTCCAGCTCTCCAGCACTACAGATGGTTATCCTTTTCTTGTCTTATCTTTGTTCTTTCAGCCTTGAAATAGTATCATCATGAATAAATGAATAATGAATTGATGAACAAATGAAAGAATGAATGAATAAAGAAATGAAGGAATGAATAAATGAACTAATGAATGATAAAATGAATGAATGAATGACTAAGTGAACTAGTGAATGATTAAATGAATGAATGAATGAATGAACGAATGAATGAATGAATGAATGAATGAATGAATGAATGAATGAATGAATGAATGAATGAATGAATTAAAAAGCCAATAAATTAGTGACTGAATGGACCAACTCTGAAGAAACAATTCACAAATTAATCAGATTTACTGAAGTCTTAGAGGATGGGAGGTCCAACATGCTATGCAACACACTGTTTTCCTCATTTGCTATTGAAAGTTTTTTTCTCTCTTTCTTTGCTGAATTGTATGATGCTCACCTGTACTTTATTTTTTTGAGGAATTCTTTTTCGTTTTCAAACCATGTAGTCTTTTTGTCTTTAATTGCATAGAAAATGTATAGAAGAGCGTTTTCCTGATTTCCAGGAGGTAGGAGAAATTTTTCTCAGGATGCGTCTCTTAAGTTCTAACCAAACATGATTGTGAAGGCATGCAGGTAGTTGAATCACTTTTGTTTGTTGCTACTTGGATGTTAAACTAGGCCCCCAAAACATTGTGGCATCCTTCAATTCAAATATCAAGAGGAGGGCCAGTGAAAGAAACCAAAATCCACGCCCACGACCAGGAAGGTTTCCAATGTTTGAGGAAATTACCCAGAGAATGAATAAGCAGTTTTCTTGACTCTGCATTTACAGCGGATTTTTGGTATAAAGTCCCAAAAGGTTTAAATTACAAATCGAAACCGCTTGTTGTCTCATAAAAATTTGGCAATGGGATTTGAAGTGAGCAGTAGTGATACAATTAGCAAATTGAGAAGAGGGAGAGCTTACGGCAAGTTCAAAACCGAAAATGGAAATTTAAGAGTGTAATATGGTGGAAATTCTTGTGGAAAGTTGGTTAATCTCTTATATTGACAGTCAATTATCTTAGTTTAGATGGCTGAATGGCATTTACTCTAGACAAAACAATCATCGATATTTCTCTGACGTCATTCCGAACGTATCAGAATTGCACCAAACTTCTTTGTACGACTCCTTTGAGCCCAGATCAAGATTTACCATCATAATTTTGTTCTGGATTAATTTTTGATACAATCTGTCCATTGTAGATTTTATGGCAATATTAAGTTTGAAATCACTAAAGAGTTCGACTGAAAAAATATCTACTATCACGGTCAGGTCCCTTTTGAAAATTTTTAACTTTATATGGACAAAGAATCGTCATCACGAGCACTAGCTTCACGAAAAATTACATGTAGATTATAAGTTTAGTCTTCTGTTCCAATCTAAAGTAAAAAATTAAGTCCTGAAAAAGTTTGAACTATTTTTCAAAAACGATTGCAATTTTTTCATGATCCTTTAATTTCCCTGATTTTTGTTTGTTAGCAGTCATATCCGATAGCTGTAATTCAATATCAGGACCATGTAGTATTGTGTATATTATTTCTTCTGTATCATTCACTTTTTAATTCTGATTGCAATAATCCGTTCTGCTCCATTTACAGTTGTTTATTGTGTGAGGATACGTAGTTGGTAATGAAAAAATTAGTTTATACTCATGGAAAATTCAGAAATGTAACCGTGTTAACCAAATTTACAGTAGACTAGCCAGAACATTAGTCATTTTGCACGGCGGGCGACTACTTTATTTTCTAAAATAAATTTCAATTAAATACAAATCGCTACTTGTTTGACAATCCGCTGACACTCGTGATTGTAACCGAACATAAATAAGGACAGCAAGATATTAAATATAAAACTTATTAGTGCCTCTTGAAATCCACAAGAAGAGTTTGATTTTGACGCAGTTCTTATATTTTAAATACACTTTTTAGATTAATTCTGCAAACAAGAGAACTGAGTTTATCTTGATAGAAATGAACGTGGGAATATAACACAATTCTGTCAAAAATAGACGACAATCTCCATTAAATGATTTCCTTTCACTGCTAGCCAGTTATTAATTGGATAACATATCACATGGACAAGAGATACAAAGATTAATGGCAAAGAGTATTTTGCCATAAAGGAAAACTACAGAGGTGAAATTGCACGCATATTGAAGGGGCTAAAATTTATAATTCTAGTTACAAAATCGTGAAAGAACGAAAGCTTGTTTGCGTAAAAAACTATTTGACTTGGTTATTGTGATGGAAGTAAAAGTGAACATCGAAGTAAAGAGTTCATTTCGGAACTTTTCATCTTTCCAACCTATCTATTACATTCCCTATCTGTCTGGTTTATTAAAAGATAAATAAACCAACATGGTATAAACATGATAGGGAAAATATTTTAGCTATAAACATTTTGTTGGTTAGTAACCATTACTTTTGAATATATTCTTTTGCTCGATCGGTGCTCAAACCATGGCAATCAAGCGATCAGCCAAAGCAAAAATTCCCTTTGTATTTTGCTTCTGATAATCTTAGTAAAATTCATATGTTCTTCTCTCTGTTTTGTGAAGTTTATATCTGCTTTGGTTTTCATTAACTGCCAGCTTACATGGTAAACTGTATGTGTTAAATGGTAACCTCACGAAATTTTAATCTCACAAGTAACGTAGGCTATATGAAGTATTTTAAACAAAGGCATGATTTGAAAGCAGTCATAAAATTGATGGCGGGAGCACGTTAGTTTTTAATGCTCAGATTTGCTTATAGAGATTTAAACGAGATAGATTTATAAGTTATCAAGTTATAGTGAGCTTTATCACTGATACTAAAATGCAAAATAGCTAATCTTCTTTTATATACACCATGTCTCTCGCATCATCAAGCATTTCGTAAAGACTGCCATGTTTTTGTTTTCATGTACTTCAGTTATTGAGCTGCCTATAGCAGAATTCTGGTCATAGTGCGCAACAAATCGTTGCGCGGTAAACACGCAGTAAACACACGGTAATACGCGGTAAACTTTCAGTGCTTGGACCTGATCACCCTCGTGGACGATATGCTGTTTATTCTTTTCCATTGTTCTCTCTCCATAAATGATAGTTGGGTTGGCTAGGTTGTATTTATTTGAAACCAACTGAATTGAAGTGAAGCTGTATCTCCTTTGTACATTCACGAACTTTCAGCTTTAATTTCAGTTGTTTTATCATATCATAATAATAATTTATTACAAAGCTTGAATGCTTTGTAGACTTTAACTCCATTCCTTTCAGGAATCTAAATCTAAAAATGAAATTTTAACGTCTTCGATTCTTCTGCATTGTAGATCAAAGTCGCCTCTTTCATTCTTTTGTGCCGGGGGTCTCTCTAGTATATGACATTTTGCGCCAAATTACCAGATGATTTCAAATGAATTTGGTAACAATGATATGACATTTTGCCTTTACACGCCAGTTTCAAATTGAAATTTGTTATCATTTTGTCTTTCTTCTATTTGAAGCTGCACATCAGGGTTCGTTTTTACAATAACATTTCTTTTCGATAACTTGTCGCTCTTGCCAGGCTCGACGTATTCATTTTCGCTGCTGTGCAAGCTTGGTCCATTCATGCCACCATTTTGATCAGTTTTATTGTTCTTATCGTCAAGCAATCGTTTTACTTCCATTTCTTTGGCCTCTCTTTCTTCTCTCTCTTCCCGCTCCTTTTTCTCTGCCTGTTGCTTTGTTTTGTCTTTTTTATTGGCTTCTGCGGCCCTTATCTCGTTTTCTCTGCAAAAAAAGGTTTATAATGTTATAAAATTTGTCAGGCAACTTTTCATGTCCTTTTTTCTATCAACTGATCAAGTGTTTAGAGCATAAGGTCCCTGTTTCTTAAGCCTACAGGTTTACGGGCTCGAGCACAGGTGATACCAATTAAGGCTCGTCTCCAGTCCCAAAGTATTGAAATTACAGCCTTCAGATAGCAGAGCAAGAAAATCACAAACGTACAAAATGTAGAAAACGGACAACAGAAAACTGTCAAAAAACTTCAGAAAACGTTAAGCGGACAATAGAAAAAGGAACAACGAACAATAGAAAACGTACAACGGACAAGAGAAAATGTACACGGACAAGAGAAAACGTACAACGGACAAGAGAAAACGTATAGCGGACAATATAAAACGTATAACGGACAACAGACAACTGTCAGCAGACTTCAGAAAACGTCCAACGGACAATTAAATACGTACAACGGAAAATAGAAAACGTACAGCGGAAAGTAGAAAACATACAACGGACAATAGAAATCGTACAAAGGACAATAAAAAACGTACCACGGAAAAAAGAAAACGTGCAACGGATACTGCACAACGGACAACGGACAAGGAAAACGGACAATAGAAATCGTCCTACAGACAAAAGAAAACGTACAACGGATAATGCACAACGGACCACGGAAATTGGCTCACAGACAACGGACAGTAGCAATAGTCCCTAGGTTTGCATTCTAAAAAAGGTTCACTTCAGAAGGCAATCAGTCAATTAGCACAACTTTTGATCTCTGTTGTTCAAAAATAAAAACTTCCACCGCCGTTTACGTACTGAACATGCTTTATAGATGGCTTAAATCAAACTCTCTCTATCAGAATAATTCGGACTTTGCTGCAAATTATATATCAATATTCTTGTAGATAATTTTATCTATTATGATAAGTGATTGACAAGGCATGCTTATTGTTAAGAATCACATTCACTGACAGACTACTAACAGCACATTTGTCATTAAACAAACGTTTCATATATACTTACGAAAATTTGCATACTTTAATGTCTGGGACAAAGGACACAATAATGTTTATTTCTAAGAAAGGATCTGGAACCAGACCAGGGTAATCCTACTGTTGAAAAAAGAGGTAGTGGAGTCCTATGAGTGAACTAGAAGAGTGCCTCTTCTCCTTTTACCTTTCTGTGACATTTTAAATTCTCCAGATATACATGAAACGTTTATCACTAGGTAGAAAAGACTTTTGCTATATTTGCTTTTATTATGGCGTTGAAGAGCCACACTCGTTTCTTTTTCATTTAATGTTCATGGTTGTCTTCTACTTTATTAAGAGGCATGGTAGGCGAGGAAACTTGTTATTGTGTGTATGTTATGTTGATCATTAAATTTCGCTTAATGATCGCCTACGTCGCTGCTAGAATTAAACAGTGTTTCTCTTTGTGAAATTTTCTAAAACTCGACTTACGTAAAAATATTGTAGAAGAATCAATGAATAAGATGAGATTTTTTGTTTTCTATTGATATGCTAATGCTCCATTCCAGGTCAAACTACCTTTGATAGGTTGCAAAACGTATATTGTTTCTATTTCGTCTCATATTATTGCATTTTAGGCAAACATAGTGGAATAAGATTGTCGTCATTGAATTGTGTTGATGCAAATTTGGAAAATATTTAATCGCTTTTTTCTTTCTTGACTGACGCTGGTTTTGAGCTATTATTACGCAATCTAAAGTTGGTAGCTTTGAGCTTTGAACCAGAGTTTCTATTGTGACTTGAGCTGCCTATGCCAATCAAATTCTGGAAGAAAGATTTTCATTGCAAACATGGATTTGGCCATTGATCGAGCCTTTGTTTTCCAAACCATCCATCACTGCATGTTGTTATTCTTGTGGTCGCATTGATTATTTTATAACGTATTTGCAAGTCCAAAGGTCTTGTTGACATACAACAGGCTACATGTCAAATAATAATCTTTTCTATGAATAGTCTCTGTGACCAGAAAGGAATAAGGTTGTTTTAGGTAGATTTTATCAAGTCTGATATGATACATTGTTGCAACTTGCACCCATTAGGTCATTCCGCTCTCAATTTTGGAATCTATAATTAAACAGTACTAGTCATTTTCGACATTTTTGGCTAGCACCTAATCCCTGTTATTGATTTGATTATCCAATTTCTGTCACAACGTTGCAAACTGTCTGGCAAACTCTAACTAAATGCTATACCCAAGATAATGTGAAATAACCCAATCTACTTGAGTTAATATAAGAGTCCTGGTTATCATTTAAATATCTTTCACAATTTTTATTATTTTTTCTCTTTTTGCTGCTTGTCTTAAAAATCTTGCAGGTTTTTTGTTTCAAACACCGTGCTGTTCCTCATGGTATCCAGTATTCAACTAACTCTTGGATTGGACTTGAATAAATCGTTGCTTTTATTTTCTCTTGATATCGTTGTTAAATGTTGCTTGGCTAAATTATAACTAGTATTATCACTTCTTATGATACATATACACCTATAAACACCTATGACACATATTTTTAGGATAATATTAAGAAATATCGAAACATTCTTTACAATATCTGTATTTTTCTCTATGAATCTATTCTGTTTCATAGCAGTATCAAACACTTTGTTTTGGAAGTAATACTATGTGATATTGCACTATGTTTTAAGGTCGACTGTTAATATGTTAATATTAAGATTGGTAGAAAGTTGTAGTTTATTAAAAACTCGTTTATTATAGCAGCTGACAATTTAGGTATTTCTTTTTCAGTCTCCAAAAGAATAAGCTAGCTCACTCGATATTATTCGTTATCATTTATCTTAATGGTATCTTTTACATTTCAAAATTTACATCACAGAACTCTTTAAAAATGAGGCGCAGGAATGCCGTTAAAATTTACGAACACTTGGAAAACAGTAACATTTTTTAAGAGAAAAATATTCAATAATGTGAATATAATAAATTATTTCATTGATAATTATCAATGAATCATAATTATGTTGGTGAATATATTGAATTTGATCCAGATTATAGGTTAAAATGAATGGGTTAACATATGCTCAAATTAATATCAGACCCGATGTTCTGATATTGATGAAAAGAATTGTCTAGACATTATTGTGGACCAGACGACTTTAGGTTATCTTATGATTAAAACTAACAGACAAATATTTTTATGTTGATAATCTCATTCAATTTATAAATTATGCTTATTCCATGTCTGTTTTATGTTGCTTTTTGCCGATCACCTTATCCGCTGAGATAAATTGTTTTTATCTGGCAATGCAATTCTTTTTGTCTATTGGATTTAGGTTTCTTGCAAATCTTCACAGTTGCAAACTCTTCAAATATTACACCTCATCTTGTGCAAAACATTTCTAAAGTACCTTTTTTCTGAAAGTATCATTTAACAAACTTTCTATTTCATTCAGAAATGCAACCAAATAAGTTGTTTCTCGGGCTGTTGTTTATTTTTTCTGGTGCTCCTGTTTAGTGTTGTTTAAGGACGCATATCTGGCACGTAACATAATATGAATGTAACAAAAGGTGCCTGCTAACAAATCTTAATTTTGATCGACCCTCTGGAGCTTTCATATAAATATTTTACTCTAACATAGAAGGAACTTATTCAAGGTCGTTGGTGTTACCGTCTTTAGATAACTGTCATATTCCTCCAATTCTTCCTTAATTAAATTTGAAAATATTGCTGCACTGGACGCTAAACATAAATCTTTGTTGACAAAATTATCTCATAGATCATGCCCTGTTTTCACATGATCAATAATTGCCTTTTAGATTTGATCCCCTTATTATAACTGTTTTTAAAATTATTAACTGTAGCTCATTTTACGATCATCTTTCTATGTATGTTCTCATGACAAAGGAAGGTATTGTCCAATGACACTTAGTTTTTAATCATTTATTCTATTTATGCAACAACTTTATCAGTTATTTGTCTTCAAAAACAATTTAGTATGTTTAAACGCAAATCAATAATTTTATGCTTTGCAGGAAAGAACTTTAAGCCTGGTACGTTCATCCAGGTTAAGGCTCGTTCATATAACATGTTGAAAAGCTAATATGCTAACTTTCAGCTCTTCTTCATCAAATTTTGAGTATTCCTTGTTATAATGCCGAAATATCTACCATCCTAGACCCTGGCAAGACGTCTGCGGTAAAGGTTTTTCTGATTCCTGGAAAAGCCTGGAAATTGTTTTTGGTGGTATGTTTATCTTGATGTTGAATTATTAAGTACTAAGCTATTTTGCTCTACATTCACGAAAATTTATGACTGTTTTTGGTTTGTTTTATTATTTATGAACTCTGTGTCATCAAGAATTGCATTTTACCGCATCAAAAACTTCACTTAGCGCTATTAAGATCAATTCCTTTTTTCCCATTCGGTACCACAATCATTAGGTACCTCTCTCATGGTCCTTCTGTATGCAAGAATCTTATATTTTAGATGAGTAGTATAGAATTCTCTGAACTTTTTAACTCTGTTAAGAACTGTAACAGCAGGAGGCTTGATAACTACCAACAACGATTGCCTCACTCTAAACATGAACAACAGTAACTTTTTCCAGACCAAAAGGAATAAAGATTTGTATGAATCCTTTTTGTCAACTTAGTCAGTAAAAGGTCCTGTAGCCAATACCCTGGTTAACTGAGTATTGGTGAAAGACTGGATCGAACATTGTTCCCCTCACCTCTTAAGGTCATTCACTTATCGACTCACTCATGCAGGGTACCAACTCTTTAGCTGAGGCCCAGCCACCTGGGGTATATAGTCAATAGCTCAACAGAGGGGCTTTTCTTTTTATTATGTTGACACTGAATGTCCTTTTCAAGAAAACGTCACATCAACTGAGGATTGTTTCAGTTGAGTCAAGCGAAAACAAGTGCAGAAACGTTTTGCAGAATCGACATTAGTCTGAAAATCTCGAACCTGCCTACCGAAAGTAAACGAAAAGATCATTCGTGTCTTATACTTTGTTATATCTGGACAGCTGGAGTTCTACTCTGCGATGTTAACTTGACTTGACATGTTTGTTGGTTTATCTGTCCTGGTCTACCAAAGAGAAGTCAGATATTTTTCGTTGTACTTTCCATAAACGCCTTGTTATTGTTTTTTTATCAAGTTTGGTCGAGACTGGAATGAGAACTTGCAAACGATTTTAAGTATTACTTCGAAAAGGTTTGTAATTGTTCGATTAGCGTTAGTAATCCGGCTTGGTTATAGCATAATATAGGCCAAAGAGCCACACCCAGGTATGTTAGAAGTTATACAGGTAGGCTTTTACATTCTAGGTAAATGGATATTTAGTTAGATTTGCTCTCACAAACTGTTTGATAACAACTTTAGTTTTCAAAAGATCTTAACAGGTATCATTCTTTAATTGAAATGAAATTAACCTAATTGTGTTCACTACAAAATGATTATTTCTCTTCAGCGGTGGTGTGTTAAAAATACCTGTTGCATTTTGCAAGTTGGTGTTATGTTGCGTTTCAACGCGTTGCTATCTGCAGCCTATGCTGACAAATGCAACAAACGTTTCACGTATTTGGAATTTTATAATCAAATTGTATTAATGATACTCACCTATGATAGAAATAATTGAAATTGGAGACAATGACAGGCACTGGAAGTGCTATTGTCAGCACACCAGATATGGCACATAAGCTGCCAACGATTTTGCCCCATACTGTGACAGGTTTCATGTCCCCATAGCCAACCGTTGTCATTGTAACAACAGCCCACCAAAATGCATCAGGGATGCTCCGAAAGGTCTCTTTTTCGCCGCCTTCGGCATAATAGACGGCAGAAGAGAAGAGTATGACGCCAATGAGTAAGAAGAAAATTAGCAGCCCCAGCTCCCTGAGACTTGCACGCAACGTATGTCCCAGGATTTGCAGGCCTCGCGAGTGCCTGCTTAATTTGAAAATTCGGAATACACGGACGAGCCTAATTACACGAAGCACGCCCAGTGATCCAACACTGCTTGATTCCATCGGTAATGTTATATAGAACGGTAATATAGCAATAACATCAATAAGGTTCAGAAAGGAGCGGACAAATTGGCATTTTTGTGGAGCTGATAAGAATCGCATCACGTACTCAAACGTAAACCATACTATACATGCAGACTCAATAGCGAACCAAGGCATCTTTTTATCGTCCTGAATTTCAATGCGTTCCGTTTTCGTAATGTTTCCCACCGTTCTTGTCACTTCAGTGTACCTAAAGCTAGGCAGAGTCTCTATGCAAAACGTAACGATAGACACGGTAATCACAAACACAGAGAACACTGCCACTATTCTGGCTCCAATGGACGTGTCCGGATATTCGAAAAGCTGCCAAATTTTTCGCTGTAACTCATTCTGTGGTAGGTTAGGCTCTTCCTCTTCGATGTATCCTTCGTCTCTTTCTACTCTTTGTAATACTTCATCTCCGAGTTCATAGAATCGAATTTCGTCCGCGAAAACATCCATGGGGACATTGGGTGGTCGTAATAATTTCCCTGATGACTGGTAGTAGAATAAAATCGCATCGAAAGCAGGGCGATTTCTGTCGAAAAAATACTCCCTGCGACCGTCATCGTAATATCGCGATCTCTTTGCTTGACTACCTAGTAGCGTATCTGGATATTGTTCTAACGTTTCTCTATGTGTTTCGAATTTAAGTCCAGATACATTTATTACGATTCTTTCCGACGAACTAGGTGTTGTGTTATGGTTTTGCGATCTGAATGCAGTTATATTGTTACTGCGTGACGATGAAATAGGCCCGTTAATTGTAGCTCCACTTGTTGTGTTTGGAAGCCCAGTAATGCTCATGTTTTCAGCGTCATTTGGTGCACTGACTTGCATGCGACTCTTCCACGAGGCCTCTATGAAAAGAAAAACACATGTGTATAAGACGACCGCATTCCACAAATTCAGTAGTAAAGTAGGCTGGAGATCAGCTGGAAAATACACAAGTTTTGAGTAATCCAGACAGTGTCCGCGCGTAGCAGGTGCCAGCTAATGTGCGTCGTTGTTTGCCTATAAAGACTTTTCTGACCTAGTTTTCAGTTTAACTCCGATTTCGTTCTAAACAACAGCTTGGCCAATGCCCAAAATATGGGCAAGCAGAAAAACAGTTTCAAGACTACCTTTGTGCAGAGGTTTTTAGAAGACTCAAAAATCTGCAGTCGCTGATAGACTCTTTTCAATTATTGATGACCTATTCGACTTATGCATAATTTATATGGAATACCGAAAAATTTATAGCAGCCTCGAAAATTGGATTGAACCTTTGAAAAAGAGACGAAAAACCATCGCTGTATTTGTTAACTTGGTTTTACCGTGTTTAGTTTTAGCATTCATTATTCTTTACTGGCTTATGGATCTTGCATTGCTGTATTCATGCACCTTAGCGTACTTATTAAGCTTCAGGCATCTTTGCTAGGAGCTTTGCAGATCTAACCCAAACCCTGTCGCCCTGCACATTGATTCGGCCCTTGGCAATCCTTAGTTTAAGATCGGAAAAACGGACCTGCAAAACTTGACGTTTAAATGCGTTTTACGATAATGAGGGGATAGAAGCTGGTTTCTTTTTTCAACCAGGAGCCCTGGTTAAACTTTGCGAGCTAAAGTGTGGAACACCGAACTACTGGAAACAGAATTCTGCGATGCGAGCTTATGTTGCCTTGGAAACCCGATTTTAAAGGACGAGAAGAAGTCTACCGTATCAAAGTGTGCATACTCTTCACTCGAGCCTTTCTTCGTGGAAGTGACTTTACTAGTAAGCAAAGTTCCCTGCAGATGGCATACTAGCGGGTTAATAAGTTTAATTTCTGAATGGCGGCTTGTTTTAAAAGGCGAATTAGACTGATCAACTAGATTAAAAGAACTGCTAGTGAAGTTTTGTCTATCGTCGTAAAATTATGAAAATATATTTAGCAGTGATGATGTTGATATCTTTGATAAGCTGCAATGTATGCAAAAACAGGAAGCTTTTTCGTGCACTCGTTTTCCCATATATTCCTTGTCAATAAATGAAAGGTAATCATGTAGCCTGGCGTATTAGTGCGTGGTGGTGAAGCTGTATTGGAGTCAGCTCATGCATAATACTGTTCGCCATTCATTTTAATTTGTGTTCATGGAGGTGGAGCGATGTCAGTAACATCATGGGAAATTTGGTAAAGATTCCAAGGTAGGGAAGAGAGGCAAATTTTTTTACACTGTAGAAAAAGTGTGCTAGTTTGAATTATTTCAATTTTCATTTCCTGCATTCAAAACAGTATCTCGAATTATCTAATTACCAAATGCTTTGACAAAATAGAAATCATGCATCTTGTGTTTGTCCATAAACATGAATCTACAAAATATATTTTGTCTTATTTTATTTTATTTCAACACAATTTATTCCTTAAATAAGAAAGATAATGGTAAATTTTCCCAAAATAGTTATGACGTTTGTTATATCTTGTTTACATTAAATTTCATTATCTCCGAGTCGTTTTTAATTTTTAGTTTTCGTTTGCCATGAGAAAATAGAGTTTCCATAGAAGTCGCCTAAAAGAAACGGTAATGGAAAGAGACAAGCTGTGATGGAGTGGGTCAATTTTGATTCTCCAACCCAAATGGTCGTATCGGGAATAAGGGGTATCTTCCTGTCTCTGTCTCTAAATTTACGTAGGAGAGGACCTGCCGTCCCACTTGCTTCCGTGATGCAGGCATTGATACGAAAGAGTTCAAATTACGAGATTTTCACGAATTGAAAAACTCCATATAGGAAATGAAAGGAAATTATTACTTGATATAGCTTGTTTTATACGCCCCCTTCTGTCAGAAATTTTGCATTCCTTTTAGTCGAGATGTGAGGTGTGCAGTTTACATTGGTTGTTGAATGTTTTCATTGGCAAGTTAATATGGACAAATGCAATTTTATTCCCGACTACTTACACTACCAGAACACGAAATGGTTTGTCCTCTTGCCCTGGAGACTTGGAATGTTTGTGGTCCGGTTTTTACGATAGTTGAAGTTAGTAATGTTGACATCTAAATGGCGAACAAGTTGGTTAACAGGTGTCAGTATACATAAAAAGATGCAATTCAATTCACCTAGGATCACTTCTGAATATCCTTATTTATTTGTGAATTCATGTCAAAGCTTAATTTCATTCCATTTTGCTTCCATTATTGAGACTCGTGCCAGAATTTGTCTTTGTTTTATAACTCTCAACTGTGCGTTCATTTACGTTGAACAGCCATGTAACAGGTCTAAAGGATAGTCGCTGACGTATGTAGGGTTTACAGCCCAGGAGACATCTTGCCTCTTCTATCAATATTTTAATAGAATGTTTATTTTATGTAAAAAGTTCAGTAATTAACGACCTATTTCTCTGAAACTAGATTCCAATAGCAAGCCCAGTATCTGACGAAGCATCTCTATTGACATAAAGCTATACATTTTGCCAGGTTCAGAGCATTATTATAAAAATACCAGTCAATATGTTTGACTAATGTTTAATTCAAATCTTTATCACATCATGCACAGATCTGTCTTACACATATTTCCATGACAACAAACCCTGCGGTATCTATCATATTTCACCTGTTTCTGGTTTGGCTTTTAAGGCCTTTAATCATTGAGTCATCTTTCATTTTTAATTTCTTTTGTTTTTATTACCTGTGGGTTTAATGCCGTTTGATTATTCTGAAGTTGCCCAACAGGGATATTAAAAACTAAATTAAAAAAAATTGCTAGAACCGATAAAAATCATTATCAGAAATTTGTATTTACAGTCTTCGAATTCATCCTGACGCAGTTACCATTTTGTTATCCGGGTCTGCGTGGACCAGTATTTTCAATTCTTTAAAAATTTTCTTTTTTCTCTGAGTTACTCGCAAAATTATTGAAGAAAAGTAGCCTGAGAAATTTACTAAATGTTTATTCAAGAGATTGTATATCGAAGACATTTGTTTAATTGACAGCAAAGCAAATGTGGATTACACATGCCTTGGAAAGTCTTTTCATAGAAAAAACAATGTATTAAATAGTTCCATGATCGCATCCTAATGATGAAAACCCCAAAAAATCAGTCACTTTATTCCTACCGTCAAGGACTTTAAAAAGAATCCAGGAACCGAGAAACTACCCGAAAACTGACAGCAACTCTGCTGGTCTGTCAGGACCCTAGCCCTAAGATGACCAAAAAGTTAATAACCTTTTTGAACTGACCATTTCTCTTTTAAAAATTGGTTGAAAATGATTTTTTGGTCGATTGGGTACCTATTTTCTATGTTACTTAACATAGATAAATAGAGCGGAGATCATCTTGTGATTTTTTGGGTGTGCTTTTTTCTGTTGTCTCGTTTTTGTTTTAGCAGTAGTTATTTTCGAAACTTATAAAAAATTGTAGTGCTGGAATTAAGAAAAAATTTAGAAACTGAGTGGTAATTCTGAGCTTAGTTTCGTAAGAAAAATCAGTTCACAAGGAGGCTTAATTGTTTCAAGCCAGCATCGCTAATACTAATGAATGACAGTATCTCAAGGGCTCTTCTAAATGATTTATAATTTTTTGTTTGTTTGTAGTGACAAATCTGTAATTAGATTGTGTATGGCGTCATTCCAAAATCGTCAAGTCATTCTAGTAGCAACGAATTTGTGACAAACTCTCGTTGTTTCAAAATGATTTAAAAAATGTCCTGTCACTTATATTGGTTTCCTAATATCGTTTAAATATGATCAATTCTTCATTTAGTATGAAATGAGGTTTTACAATAACACAATGTATCACAATGTAAAATTGACAATGAATAACCTCCTTTTTAATATAGCGTATTCAGTTCCATAGTCTCTAAATTTAATGACTTTGAAGTGATGTTTGCTAAAATGGTCGCTTGACTAGTAGCTGCGGTAAAGAAATTCTTTTCTGCTTCGCGGTGATGTCATAATAGGCAGCTATACTTCAGTTTTATGACAGGTGTTTCAACTTCTTTTGAAATTCTCCTTTTATTTATCCAGTGCCAGGCTTAGGAGTGTTTGATGGCAAAATCTAAAGAACCCTATTGTTAACCACGCTTTGGAAAGTTTTCATGCCATTGAAAGTTGTGAAGCAATAAGAACAACGAATAGGCATTTATTGAACTTAATAAAACTGTATTTGTGGCCTTCAAACAAAGTCACAGTCAAGATAGACAGGTCTAAAACCAAAAAAATCGGAAACATTTTCAAATAAGAGTTCTGAAACCGGCTTTAGGGTCAAGACATTGTAGAATCAAATTTTACTTCGAGACTTCTGAATTTTTTCCTAATTTTCAAAATGGCGAATCAGTTGCAAAATGGCGGCTATTAAAAAAAATGTAGGCATTAAAATAGGCTTAAGCTCATACCAGATGCAGGTTAGATGTTTTCAAAAAGATACCTATTTACTTTCTGTAAATAATCTATAAAAGTGTCTATGAACCATTATCTTTTATAATGGTAGCAATAATTCAAAATGACAGTTTTGCTTGCTTTCACTGATCAAATGTTTCCAAAAATCTGTGAATGAAGTATTTTAATACAAATATTTTTCCTAATGTGATTTGGGCCACAATAGAGTTCTCAAGTGTAACGTAACAAGAAAATTATTTTTGGAATTTTTGAATGTTGACCATATAACATAAAAGAACATCATGAAATTCTCCCATACATGCAAAATCAGTTAAATTTGTCAAAAATCGGGTAAGCTATGGCCAATAAGAGATTTGAAGTTTGCTAACGGATTACTTTTATTTTGACTCAGGTCATAAAGTTATGAACTGAGACCAAATTACAGAGGTTTGATGGGGCCAGAGCTTGTGCTCATCTGGTCATATCTCAGCCAATTCGTAATACCTTCAACTGATTTTGTAAATTTAAAGTATTTCATAATGCTCTTTCAAGTTATGGGGAAACAATTTCAAAAATTCTAAAAATAGATTTTGAGACGTCATCACTTGACAACTCTATATCAGATAAAATTCATAAAGGTGTGTTTGATTAGGATGAGGCATTCTCCCAGCACGAAAATAGATCAGAGATTCATAAAACAACACTTGAAACAATCAACAGGATTAAGTTTGTAATGGAGTAAAAAGGAATATACACGAAGGTCAAAGATTTCTTCTCTTGCAAAGTGTGTTCTTTTATCTGCAAGACACAATATGTATACAAAGCACCTACAAATTCATGGTTAAAGTTTTTGCTTTAGGAGACTGTTAAAACTATGATTCAAACATTGTTATATAACTATGCCATTTTACAAAAAGTATTTTTTGTGACTACCCCTTTTGACCAACCCAGCCTATGAATACTTTTTTTCTTCTTTGTAAGACAGTCAGATTTAACTCTTGATCCGCCCCTGCCTTAAAAGGTATAGGTTTTACTGTAGAAGCAGGCCAAAACGAAAGGACGTCAGTATATAATGGACAGTAACTGCGATCCTTTAGGTGTACGCTCTATTTAAGTTTTACTTGTGAAGAAACATTTAGAGATCTGATATCTTCTTGTAACGAGCAGTAAAACTGGTCTTATAGGTGAGGTGTCCGCTATTTAATGTTCTAATGTAGAAGCGACCATACAACTGAGTGTGTGTTCTATTGAGACAGCAAGATGACGCACTTTCGGACACCCTTCTAAAATTCACAGTATCTTTATCTAGAGCTATTCTTCAAACAAACTGTTCTATCCTTTTTTAAAAGTATACCTTTGAAAAGAAGCAATATTTTCCAATATCTTTATCTTTATCTTAAAAACTTTAAAATTTTTAATAGACCGGAGCGGAATAAGTTTCAAGATCAGGTGTTTATCTGTCTTTGCGGTTAGCATAGAAAACTTTTCCAGCCAGTAGCTTAGACTGGTGTATTTTCCCTCGCGTCATTCCAGCGTTGATCATATTATGAACATCTGTTGCACAATCTATCACATTTCCTTTATTTGAAATTATACTGATGTTGTTATTTCAACCATTTGTTATTCGCTTTCTTGGTAAAGCAACGAACACTTACATAAGATTACATAATGAAATTTCTATTTTTTATTTCTTACTGGCTGCAAAGAGAGAATCATATTTGATAGCTTTCTGCTTTTCATTAACTTGCAATGCCATGCAATATCACTGAAGTATCAATTAATCACCTCACAATTAGTTGATCAATAATTGATTGAATATTCAGTTGGCGAGAAATATCAATTAGGTTGCTACATGAGTTAATATTCGTCGATGATATTAGTGCTCTGTTATATTTTGTATACACTTAAAAGTCAGCCGTAGTTCGATGCTCTGAAAAGTTTGTGGCAGCTGTCTTTAAGTATCCTCATTAATATTTAGCGAATTTTCCAAACTAAATCGCCTATTATAACCCAAGAAAATGTCCTGAAAACCAAATTAGAACTGAGTCTTACTACTAGGTTTTGTTAAAGAACAAAAATTGTGCGGAAATCTATCGCAAGTAACAACGAGAAAGTGTTTACAATGCTGGAGATGATACATCGAAAAAGACTTAAATCCTATTTGTGTTTCTCTAAGTTTCCATGTTTTTAACCGTATTCATGTTTCGTAAAGCTTGGCTCCCACCAGAGCAATGTTTATTATGACACACTTGTAGTTTAGGAATTTCTTTAAGATGTTCTAAATGTTAGTTGGATGTAAAATCTAAGAAGGACTGAACGAGACTAAATGTTGCGGGCCGAATCTGTGCCTGGTCGACGATCTAACATCCTAAACAATATTCTTACTCCCCTTTATCCTCATTTTTACTTTCTCATGGAAGACCGCAAGATGAAGTTAGTTGCTATTTCTTAGAGGAATTACCTCCGTTATCTTGCTCGACACGCGTTCTTGACACGCTGGAAACTGTAAAGATTTCAATATCGGTGAATCTTTATCACTAAAACATCAGGAGAGATAATTTAGAACTAAAGCAGTTCGTCTTAATTACACCCATAAGAATTCGGTGTTTGGATATGTTTTTGTCCATGAAAGTGTCTGAGATGAGTTATTTATAGATGATTTGCAATAACTTCTTTTTAATCTCTTGTAACGAGACTTGATTTCATTAAGATGAATATTCTAGTTTCTCCAAAACAAGCTGGTTGTGTTAAAGTGATAAATTACAAAATCACAATCCATTATATTAAGTTATTTGAAGTCGTGCTTTTATGTTTATCCCTATAGCTCGACCTGATACTTATTTAGCGTTGATATACTGAAGTCTAATTTACAAGCCAAGCATTTGTTTCATATCATTTCGCTTGTTAAGTAATCGCAAACGGTCTTGTTTACTTTTTACTGTGCCGTGAAGAAGGGCTTTCCTTTGTGCGCCATAGTTAACGTATTTTCTCTAATCCAACATACCTGAAGATAATTTCATGCCATTAAGGCCAACATCGAGGCCATTTCCAAGACTACTTCGCCTTTTTGTCAAAGTAACTGCATTCGTACGTGCGCCATTTCAACCAATTACTTCAAAACCAAGAAGATGCCATGTTTCTTCAATGTTTTGTTTATTGATGTGGCTTAGATACTCTCCGTAATCTCAATTCAAATGAAATTTCATGTGGCGGGATTTTTTACCAAATTCTAATTGATGCCACCAACTGTGTCTAATTTAGATTTCTGTAGAGTACCTGCTGTAGTGAAACTTCACTTTCTAGCTCTTGTTAACTCCCATTATTCTCCAGGCCCTGCATTGTGTTTGTATTCTTTCATGTAAGTTTAGCTGAGAAACGCCTATATGTGTAACACCAGATCTTTTCACAGGATGCTTTGTATCCGGAGTTGTTTTTAGCGCTTTGCTAAGAATAGCCTTTCTTACAATGTCTCAATCGTTGTTATATTTTTTTAAGTTCGTTGTTAATGCAGTAGATATATCGTCAGTTTCATGAAAATCTTCCTTATCTTTTTCTAATCCATTTTTGTATAACATGTAATAGTATAGGTTAGAACTCTCAGTCGTGGCTAAGACTATAAAAAGGCTTTATCCTTCTAGTAACTACTGTGTTTTACCAAAAAATCTTTGTGAGCATTCTTCAATCATTATTTAGGTACTTGCATTAGATTAACATAGTGAGTTGTAATTCAGAAATATAGCTAAACGATGGATGGGGTGAAAAGATGCAAGAGAAAATACTTGGGCAGCTTTCCATTTTGCTACAAATATATTATTTATTTCCCTTCAAAATTTCTGAATCACTTTGCATCTGTCTTTAGAAACACAATCGAAACGATAAAAAACAGAAGACGGCGGTTTTTCATAAAGTAATTTTACTAGATTCAGAAAGGTTTTTATTTCTGATATATTGGGACTGTTTGTTGCGGATTAATGTCTAGGTCAGTTCCTGTACATGCAAATTTTTATATCATGCAACTTAAAATTCGTTTAGTTTGTTATACTTCTTGTTGCAATATTAATAAAGTACCTCCCTTTTCCACCAGTCAAAGCTCAGTCGTTTTATTCTTAACAAAGGGTTCTTTATAGAATAGCTAAAATTTTCTTTCATGGTAACATCTCGAAAACCGATCCGGTTGCTCTCAACTTCAAAGGCAACTATATATTGTTAAAACTATTAGTTATATGGAATGTAAATTACTATAAAATTATCTTATTGTCATAAATTTGTAACTAAGTTGCTGAATATAAAATGAATTTTTAATTTGAATTTGATTTTGACATCTTTATTGATTTTTTTAGATTTTTGACCCGTCCTTCTCCACCCTTAGACATTATAAAGATTTCCTTCGCAACCAAATTCAATTTCTTTACTCTCTCTTATCAAAAGGCAAAATTTATGTAGTTTATTCTAGTACCTAAAAGAACTGAGGCCTCATCCAGTTTAGAGCCGTCATAAATCGTTCTTGTATAGGATACCTATGCAGATTTTCCTAAAGCTGCCAACAAACAACAGTTATAGGTCTTTGACGGGCTTATTATCGAATATTTTTTACAGTAAGTTTGTATATATACCCACCAAGCTGAATTTTTGAAAAGAGTTTCTGCTAAAATTATTGAGTGAAATATGTAAAGGTTTTTTCATCAAAATTCTACTATCGTAATTCTGAAATTGTTTGCCTGTAACATTTGATTGCTATTTAATAGTGCTAATGCTTTTGATTGTACATGGCTGAATCTTTCAGATATCCTATCAGAACTGACACCTGCTACTCAAATGGTGCACCACTCAACGCTTCATTGTTTATTTAGGAAGCAAGATATACATTTAATGGTAAATTATCCAATATTGGGGATTCAAGAATTCATAGAATACCATATAAGATCTGTTTTCGAAGTATAGGCCTTCATCGAAGAAAGCAAAGAAAAGCTGAAAAGTAGCATTCGTAAGTAACTTGCATCCTTCCTCTGGGTATCATGGGCGAATAGAAGTCGGATAATAATTGTATGCAATAATAAGATGACAGACTGTTAGTTTAGTTGAAAGAAGAAACCTCTTATTGAAAATAACTTTTATGGGGACGAGACTGTGTTTTGGCGGTGAATATTGATTTGATGACTAAATATAAAGCATTTTGACATAGAACCAAATCCATTGCCACCCTTTCTCCCAAAAAGCCATAAGATTTAGAGACTCTTTTCCACAGTAGACACTATTTGCCACCATCTTTTTATTTTATTTCTGTACTGTCCGCGTAAAAATTGTTTTACCTATCAAACAGAATTTGTCCATCGACGTAAACTTTTTGCTTCAAATAAAGACTATTTAATGTTTTGCTGTTGTGCAGAGGACGTTTGAAAAAGTTCAAAACAAAGTTTTGGCACAGGACACGATCTTAGTCTGGCTGCAGCCAACTTCTGTGTCAAGTTCCCAAAAAAGATTGTTAGGATAGTATCTAAGATAGTATCTGAGTATCGTATCTAAATATCTAATGAGCATAAAGTACCCATTTGATATAACGAATTCACAGTCGTTGATAAATTTGGGTCGCTGCCTTTCCTGGAAATTTATGTTTTATGTTAATCATCTCCTGGAGGTCGCTTCTATAATGCCAGCAAGTCTTGGAACACTGATATCAGTTTTCAAGGTCAAACTCAGCCACCAAAGCTCCCCCAAGCAACAATATTGGTTTAGTTATAGAACAGTGTATAAGATTAGGGAGTATTTTATTTTGCGTTACTTGTTTGATGTTGGTCTAAGCTATCAATATTGTTCTAATGTGAAAGGGACAGAGGTAGTAATTTTGTTTCGTTAAGCAAATAAAAGATACTAAATGCATTAGAAATTGCTGGGTGTTCCAAGTGGAAAATATTGTAGCTAAAGGTCGCATAAACCCGTCTTGTTACTATTAAGTATTTGTTACTGTGTTATTATTTGTCAACAGCAATTAATAACACAGGTTTTAAAGAAACTCCTTTTTAGCTTTTAATGGAAATGACGATTTTGGTCATAAAACTAATTTTTATTGCAAACCCTCTATTCAAACCGAGCCTCAAATGAACAAAAAGATTTAGTACATCCATACAAAAACATCCATGTTACCTTAAGAAAATGCTCGGGAATCTTTTATATAAAGATTGGACACCTTTTTCCTGTTTAATTGACATGTACGAATAGAAAGAAGAGCTCCTTGTGATCTTAAAGATTTAATTTTATATCATGTTGCACGTCTGTTTTTCTAAAGATTAGTTTTTTAGCATTTGGTATTCAGCAGACATAAAATAAATTTTTAGCATTGAAATCAAAAAAGGGATAGTGCTGCTGATTCTCATTATTTTCACGTGAGGACGGGAATGGGGTGCGTTTCTGTTACCATATTTTACCTATATGTGATCTCTTGGTTGAAAATACGAATGGTGTATATCCTGTCTTTGTTTTCACATTATACTACAATCCTACTTACTTCTTTTCTCTACGCTTCTGTGACAAGGATTGTATCTATTCGTATAATGTGGCTGTTTGTTTGTTTTTTGTGTACGGTAGTTTTTAAACAAAGTAGGTTTGTGATAATTGTTAAAAAAAGATTTGTTATGAATAGAAATTCATAATAGATTTGTCTTATATTGAATCATAGCCACAGAAGATTTTTAAACACATTTAAAAGTGATGATAATAAACAAATGTAGTTGACAAAATACTGCGATATTTCTGTCGTTACATTTGCAACCCTTGGTGACCCTTTAACAGCCCGTTTTGTTTGATATAAAACAGTTTTTTTCTTAAAGAATTATGAATAGATGTTCAGTATTGAAAGTGAACACTTACCGTAATGATCGTCGCAGCTTGATATGACTTGATTTGATGTGATGTTGCAACCCAGACTGGCTGATGTCGAATACATATTGTGAGGCTCTCTTCTGAAAGAAAACCAGTTTTCATTTGCTTCATCCATATTAATATTTTTTTTAATCTTTTGCAAAATAAACTGTTTTATGACTGAAATATAATAATCTTGCTGCGAACCATTATCCAAACAAACCCAGCACTCGAAGAAAGATCTTCAAAAGCTTTTCAAACTGAAGAAGACTAAGATTTTCTTTGGTGTTACTTCAGGCTGTGCACAAAGATTAAACCAGCTTTGCTAGAAATGTTCATGGGCACAATGATTAAAGTCTTAATTTTCGTGGTCAGATATATGATTCTCCTTAGAGCACAGGTTTCAACTAGAAACACAGATCTCTTCAACATGTTAAAAATATTTGAAACCGACCAATCCAAGGTTGACAATGGTTGTCTTATTGCTCGAGAAACATGCGGATTTTTTTCGCTTATCAATATTTAAGATTCAATTAATCAGCCTATTGATTAAAAAATTCTACAAAATTGATGTATGAAAACGAAATGTCTTGAAATTATTGAGTTTAACTTCTTACTGTCGAAGGAGCAAGTAAACTAATGACGAGCATACCGTATTTCCTCTAAAGAACGCCGCTGTGTTTATTACAAACTCCAAATTTTAGATGCGGCGTTCAATAGAGGGCGGCGTTTAATACAAAATGAACAGTTTTTCAAATGAAAAATGCGATGAAAAAAAAATAAAAGCAGACTTTTAACAATGTTTCCTTTTCCAAAAAGACATAGTAAAGATTGTGGGAACAATTTTTGAAAGTTCACGAAAAATGTCTTTGCGTTATGGAAATGTCAAGGAATGTCAATAACCCTGCCTTCGTCAGAGTCTTTGTCTCTATGACATAAAAACTCTCATAGCTTTCGAATAGTGGTGTGTTTTCTAATGAACGTCGCTTTTCAGATGTTTATTAGAGGGCAGTGTTCTTTCCAAATGGTTGGCTGAAGGTGCGGCGTTCAATAGAGGGCGGCGTTTATCAGAGGGCGGCATTCACTAGATGAAATACGGTATGTGAAGGATAGCCATTGGCCTATATGTAGCAAAAATATCCTTTAGGTGAACAACAAGGTGATCAACTGTAGACTGACATATCACGTTGATTGGTTTTCAAACACCTTTTTATAACGAAGAGTAAACCGTAATAGTTTTTAAGGGTTACTACAAGAATGTTAAAAGGCAATGCTGATTTAATACAGGGACCTGGTAGAATGGGTCACCTATTTGTTAGAAGCAATCTTTATTGCTTTGAACTTTCTTTTGCTTTCTTCTGTTTGTGAAGGTTGTGTCAAGCATGATGAAGCATTTGCTATTCGATTGTTCCTTGACTACAACAAGTATCCAGAAGTTCTTGGATATTAAACAAATCTGGCGTATTCTTCTTCAAAATAGCTGAAAACTTGAATCATAACTTCTGCAAAGTTGTGTTGCCTGTTACTGGCCAGTATCACGCGAAGACCTTACTACGTTATACAAAATCGTGCAAAGTTCAGTCTGCTCTGTCAGCTAAGCATAAACTGAAAAGCAAGAAAGATTAACTACCAAGTATGTTCATAATTATCACCGTGTTTCCACTTTGATTTCTCCAACACCTCATTTAGTTTTGAGATCGATCGCCTTCAAGACATTTCCACAAAGGCATAACTGTACTTGTGTGAAAATGTGCGTTTTCTTCATCGCCTAACGACCTAGGCAGGTGCCGTCAAATTGATACTGAAGAACTCTATGATATGCCATCACTCAATTACTGTTTCATCAGTTCTCAATTTTTATTGATGGTTCTCAATTGTCTTCCAATAATGCACATTGCATTAAGTATTGAAGTACACTGGGGCTTTCAGACTTTTTGACAACAGACAAAACTTAGAAGGCCTAAGTGTCAAAAGACCTAGGTCAACCTTTCTATAGTAAACTTATTTTTGTTTCAAAGCCGCAACAAGAATCCAGTACTGGCTATTCTAGATATTTCTCAAGAATGGCCGATGCTTTTAGGAAAACAAAATTTCCAAATCAATAGTAAACCGTCTTTTGCAAGAAATCGTGTCCTGTGCCTTCAAAGACCCACTAAATCAATGATAGTTCTTTTCACCCTCGTGCCGTTCTGAGCAAACAACTTTGATTCTTCGTTGAATATACCAAAGAGTTTGATGGGATTCATAATTGCATAGAAAAACATATTACAATCAGTAACATTTTCTGATACTTTTCTGCTATTCCAGTAGAAACGCAGAGAAGTTTTGAATTTTTAAGACCATTGATTGACATGAACCTTAAAGTAATGAAAATGTATAAGTTCCTTATAAAAGAAACCATTGTTTTGATGGATTTTTCCAAGGAATCCCTTTACACATTGCAACAGCCTTTAGTCTTACAAGCAGAATTCTGTAGAATTTGAGAACTTTTCAGTACTGAAATTTTTCTACTTTTCTTGTATAAGGGGATAGTTTATTGATGTATCTTTCAATGGAACTTGACAAGGAAGGATGTATCTGATCATTTTGGTCACTGAGTGTTGTACCCAATTGCGTATAAAAACTAGCCAGTAGGAAGAGCTGATTGTCAATGTCACGTAGTTGAAAAGCTCTTACTTGGAAAGTTGTTCTAGAAAACATCATTCTTCTCTATTCCGAAAACCGGTGCTTGTTATTCAAAACGGTTTTTCTGTTAACAACCAAAGTTGAAATCAATTATGATGTAAGCTGTGAAACAAACAAAACGGACACCGTTCTTATACCGACTGCTTTAATACACTACAGTAAAAAAGCAGAGGTCAAACATTTTTTAATTGGGTCCAAACTGCGTGGTCCCAGTCTAGTCGTTGCTAATTCTATTCCAATATTTTGTAATTGTTATCGCAAAAATAGGATTTCAAAAGTTCGACATTTGTGCAACCGTAACTTCTTTGAAGTCCTGCATGCGAAAAGTGGGACATTGAAACAAAACCAAGATGTCAGTACATTGCTCCTTCTCAATGGCTCTCTTGAAAAGCATAACCGTAGCTATTTCTAGATATTGCACAAGCACTAACGATATGATTAGAGGCTCTTACGCAACAGGCATGCTTTGCGGTTACAATTCCAACACTGGCCTAATATCGTACTGCATAAAAATACAAAGAAAGCCCTTTAGTCAATACGGCTGCCGCTAAGCATGCCGGTTGCACAAGAGCCTTTAATGTTACTCACATGATGATGTACTTATTAAATCTATTGTTCAGCTGGTAGCATAAAGCGCCTGTTTATAAAAGAAAATTATATGGGTATTCCTATGGCCTGATAGGTGACATCGAGCCATCCTATCTAAAGCTTTGTAATTCCAATCTTGTGTTTTTACGAGAAACGCTCAATCCGTGTCTAATGTGTATTCCTGCAGTGCTTGATACGGGTTTTTAGTGTCGGTCTTTTACTCTGAGTTGCTTTAATTCAGAATTACATATGTGAAAGTTGGAGACCACTTGTATCGGATTGTTTTCAGGTCCGGATGCAAAACTTCAAGGGGGCTTAGGATAGATCTTGTCCAAACATAACTGCTATATCAAAATAGAATTACTCGAGTGGAATGTAGTAGGCGATAAATTTGGCCTCATTAAGGGTGCTGCAGCCCTCCTAGCCCCTTTTTTCCTACCCTTGTGATGTAAGTTTGACTGTGTAATTCAATGCTTTTCAACATAAATCAAAGGGTTCTTGAAATGCAGGCTGTCGCTGCATTGATTCTCTACTTTTATATGTCACAACATGTCCATTTTGTGCAAAACTTTACAACCTGATTTGCTTTCTCTATCTTAGGGTCACCCATTCGTTATTTGCATTGAATCAAATAAAATCGCAAACAGCAGGGAAGAGCCTTCTTTTACGGTGTGCTCTTCGCAGTTCTTGAAGTATTTTTAAAGCACTTCGCGACTGTATGCTTGTTGCGGTTCCAAAATTCGATGAAGTTTACCTGTAACAATCAAACCTATAAAGGGGGACTGGGACCAACCCAAACTGCGAGCACCTCATAGCCGTAATCGCCTTTTCGGCGTCGCTGTATGTCCAAATGCATGAATGCTTACTGCACAGCTGCCTTGCTTTGAATTTGTTCATTGGTAAATGTTCAATGCTACTGCTGTTACATATTACTTCTACTTGTGGGAATTTATCTTTCTAAATCATCTTGATTCTTTATCGGTTGCATTTTTTCATATCTACGTTGAAATTGAAATCACATCTGGCACCGTTCTGGCTCCTTGGCCTCTTAAAACAATCGAACTGTTTTTGAAAGATAACAGCTTTATATTCTCAATGTTTTCAGCAGCAGATTGGAATAATTATACGCAAATCGAAATTTTGTGTTTTCCCCAATCTGTAAGGGTTTAGAAAAGGGGATACAATTACATTTCGGCACATTTAATCCTGAGGGATCTACAATCACTGCCAAAATTACTTGGAACACCTAACACTTTGCGCTGTGCTTTTCTATTTTCCATTTGTTTTCTTAAATACTACCATTCCCGCCCCCCTTTCCCCCTAAAACAATGTTGAAAGTAAAAAAAATCATCAAACACTCTACAAGAAAAAGCGAACTCCATAACCCCTTTCTTTTTTCTATAATAAATCAACATTGTTCCTAGGGGGATGGCTGAATTTGCCTTCGAAAACCTACGTTCGTGTTCCAAGACTTTTGGCAGTGATTCTAGCTATCGTCGCTGACAAATAATGTGCTAGAATATTATTGGAGACCGGCATGAAACATTCTACCAAGATAGTTATTCCACGAGTCTAGTTAAAATAAATGTCTGACGGCGGATGGTGGCCATGAACATTATTTTCAGCTACCACAACCATGCCCCAAATTTGTGGACCCTTACTTTTACTTCTCGGAAATCTTATTGATAATGAAATTATTTCATTGCAATTAGAT